TTTCATATATTATTGCAACACAAAGCGAAAGTGTATTAAATATGAGATTGAATTGGAAATTGAATCCCTATAAGAGCCGCGAGAGAGAGAGAGAGAGAGACGGGGTGGGGAGAGAGACTTGTCTCATTTTTAGTCTAATCCGTAGAGATATAATATTATTGACCTTCTTTTTCAATAGTAAAGGAAGTTTTAATTTTATTCCTAATTTAAATTTACAATAATTAGAAGTAATTTGATTAAAGATTTGTGGGGATTAATAAATAGGACATTAAAAGTAAGTAATGAATTAATTTTCACACATATAAACAATTTATTTTAATTCTTTTGAATCAAATCAAACATTTAATTAATTAATTAAAATTAAATTGAAAATAAAAAGTAATATAAAACACGTGAAAGAATAGACGTTTTAATATAATACTGTTTCTACAATTAGAAGTAAAAATAGTTTTCATTATTTTTTGTCTAATTGTCAGTAAAGTTGATGAAAGAGAGAGAGAAAGACATTGAGATTTATATCAATATAAAAAGACGGACTGAATATGAGGTCACTTTATAAGCGAGTGTCGACAGGAAATCAGCCAATTATAAAGTGAGTGAAGTTTTATATCTATAAATCATATATAAATTAAATCATTTACAGTATATGTTATAATAATAATTAAATTAAAACTCATTGTTGTGTTAATGAGAGCCAAAGTGTTTATAAATTTGCCATTTTTGTCACAATAGGATTTTGATTTACAATTACAATAATTATTTCTAATAAATTATATCACATTTAATTCATTGTTAATTGAAATCATAGCTAAATATAATTGTCGAGACCATTGTCTACAGAATTATCGCTTATTTATTTGAAAAAAAATTCCAAAACTAAATTGATTTCCTTTTTATTCGAGTGTAAAAATTTATAATACATTTCCAATTAATTTCTATTCAACGCTACAATGCATTCAAAAGACAATTTATTTACTAATGAGACACATATATAACTCAACAATTGGCTCTAAAAATCCATTTGTCATTTGAATTGTTTAATTTTACATTAATTTATGACAAATGCATTCATTGGACACATAAATCAATGCCAGAAAAGCAATAATTATCTGAAAAAAGTCAATTTCAATTTAATCATGTTTTTAGAAATATTTTTATTATAAATCTATAAATAAATAAAATAGCAATTCTAGAGAATTGCGACAGAATTGTTGCCACAAATAGCACAAAGAAAACAATGTGTTTTACCTATAATTAATGCATTTGTATTTTTATAAGTCATTTTCAATTTGGCCCAGAATTCTGTTGAGTAATAAAAAAATACTTTGTGTTTAAATGTTGGCGTAACTGTCCATTAAAACCATTAACGGTTCCCATCAGAACCCTATCTCCCATAATAATGGGTTCTTAAAACTTATTTTCATTGCCATTACAGTGGAGTTAACTTTGAAAACAAGACAAAATTCAGCAGAAATTTTAGTCTTATTGAGAAATATTCTGGGAATAACTCCAACAATGAATGCCTCAATACTGGCTCTACTCTAAGAATTCAAATACAAATAAACATATGGTTTATAACAATATATGAAATACAAGTTTTTGTGTGTTGAGTGAATGGCAGAGATTAAGTCGAGTCAATAAAAAAGGTTATTTATATTATAATGTTGTGCGAGTTATACACATGTATATTAAAATGACTTATTTTATTGGTTTCTGTTTTATAAATAAGTCGTTAGAAAATATAGCCAATTATTAAATCGTTGGCATTAAATGAGTGCTCATAAATTGGTATTTCAAAATGTTATTAATAACTTTTCTTATGGTTTAATTACTATGATTATTAAACACAAAATATATTTTTCGGTTTTACAATATTGTTCTAGAAATTAATTAACAAAAGCATTGTTGAGTAAAAAAATAAATTTCCCCTAGAAACATTTCTCAATACAGTTTTACCATTTAAGAAGTAAAACAATTTCACATCAAATTGTTTTTATAAATAAAATAACACCAAAACTAAATCTATTATTGATAACAATTGCGAAAATTCAATTTAAATTTAATTCTGTTGTAAATATTCAGGCAATTGTTTAGGCTATAAAAACTTTGAAATTGATCTCAAATGTAATATTCCCACAGAAATGACAATTATATTCATAAACCAAAAAATACAGTCAACAGAATCTCGTTTTTAGTTGGAATCTAAATTATATAACAAATTAATTATTCAATAAAATGTCTGTAAACACGAGGATTTGATTACAATATAGAGAACATGTAATTCAAGTACTATTCTGTAATGCAATATAATGTTTACATAATCATAGATATCTTATAATAGAAATCTAATTAATAGCATTACTTTACGAATAATTTGCTTAGCAATAGAAAAAAATTAATTTGATTTCTTGTTAAATTCAGTAGAAAAAAGAATTTACCGTTTGGTATACATTGCATAATATTTAATATAAATTAATGTTTATATAACAGTATAATAATACTGACAATAATAAGTAATCCCCATTTAGTAATTCCCAGTAATCGCAATTAAAGCTATAATAACTACTTAAATGCCTTTTAAAATCAATTAAATTCTATATAAAAATAATGATTTAGTAATAAATGACTGTAAATCTTGCCATTATGTGAAAGTGAAATCTTAACCTTTCTTATGGTCGTGAATGTTGTCGTTTTTAGTGGTCTTTCAATTAGCTTTAATGCTGTTTATTTTTTTAAATTGCATAATAGTATAATTGAATTATATTTAATGGGAAGAGTAATATGATTACTTTGTTACTTCAAAATAAACAAACAGACAATAGTTTTATAATTTAATTGAAATGCTTTTTTCGTGAGAAAATACAATAAAGAATTGATTCAATGATTGGCAGTAATTCCCGTCCTTTTATAAGAATATGACCGGGAATTGAAGGGAATGCGCGAACTCTGATGGCCTCTAATGGTCAGCTCACAAATCAAACTAATGTTATAATCAGTTAAATTAACTTTTAAACGCATAGCACAGGCACTCAAATCAAACCTTTACTTTCTATATTAGAGTCGATTATTAATCAGTTTTAAAAATGAAAAATAAATACAATATAAAAGTTATCATTTCTAACGTAAGAAATATTTCTTTTCTTTAAAACTCACCACTTTTTACGCATATATTAATCGAGAATAGTATAAATATTTTCCATCAAAAATAGTTGCAAAGTTTTAAAAATAAATGCATACTTATATACCGTTACATAATGTTCTTGTATTCAAAACTGTTAAACGCTTTTGAAAGTCAAAAGAGATAACAATTATCACAAAAATAGCCAATTCTTATAGTTGTCTGAATCTTATCACAAAGAATTGTCAACAATTACTGAGATTGTGTGACCTTTTCTGTGACATTCATTCATCCCTCCAATCATTTTATTATATTTACACAAATGTCTTTGCAGTCAAGTTTGCCAACAATTCATTAAAATTAAATCAAGGGTCCGGTAAATACAATATGCACTCAAATTTGTTCAAATGTACTCAAAAATTGACGAAATAGCCTAACGTTTGATTGATTGCATTATAATTTTCTGTAAAATAGCATTTGAATGCTTGAAATAATTGAAATGAATATAAGAAATGAGTTGACTATTGAGACGATGAACTTTTTAAGTGCTTTACAGTATACTGTCGTTGATTTGTTGTATTGATAGTTATCGTTGAGAAATACTTGAAAATATCGTTTACTTCATACAAAAAGCGATTGTTTATTGAGTTTATTAAACGTATTGTTTAATCAATTAAAACCTTTAATTGGTTTGCAATAAGTGTTGATAAGACAAAGTCTATCAATAAAGCGTCAAAATAGGCGTCATTTGTAAGAATTTCATGAAACAAAAAAGTGTTGAACTATTTTTGTTGAGAAAAACCAAAACTAAATAATGGGTGAAAAGACAAAACTTCTTCGCGATTCTTCGGACGAGAAGTCAAGTAAAAGATACGGTAGTGTTAGCTATAAGTATACGTTAATAGATTCAGTTCCCAAGTGAGTGTACACTTTTGGTCAAGTCATTCAACCAATATTGTTTTTACATTGTTTTTAGTATACAAAGTAAATGGTGTATATATTTTTATAGTAAACTTCAATTTGTTGTACATTTTTCAGAACTCATTTCACGAAAAGTCACTGCATTTTAGTGAGCGTTGCGTTAAGTGTAGTGATTATCACATTTTCGGTCACTTTAGCGCTCGGTTTACCAAAACTTCGCGAAAAACGGGAACTATATTTGAGGGGAGAGTTCATTGAATCCAATGCAGAGGAAGCGGTCTTCAGTAAGTCTGCGGTTGTGGTCGACGGCCAGCCCTGCGCTCAGATCGGCAAAGATGTCAGTCAATTGAATTTAACGTTAAGAATATTTTGACATTTTCTCACAAACCGATTGTTTTTATGGGACAACAGGTGTTGGCCAGAAATGGTTCGGCAGTCGACGCGGCCATAGCTCTGCTCTTTTGCGATGAAATAGCGAACCCTCAAAGTTCTGGTATTGGAGGAGGATTTCTAATGATTGTCTACAACAGGTATGACATCTTATATCTATACTATTTTTACAATTTATATGAATGTAATTACAATTAGAGCCAATAAAACAAGTGAAGTGATCGATGCCAGAGAAACAGCACCAAAAAACTTAGACATAAATATCTTCAAAAATAATATTTCACTCTTGAAAGAGGGTATTAAATAAATACTTTATTAATGATAATTATGATAAACCATTGATGAATCCAATACTAAACAGACGGGCCGTCGATCGCAATTCCGGGTCAGTTGAAGGGAATGATTTTGGCGCACCAGAGGTACGGCAAACTCAACTGGTCTTCACTGGTCGAGCCATCCATACAATTGGCGAAGAATGGCATAATTGTGAGCCAGTATTTGGACAAAGTTTTAATACAATCGCAAAAACAAATCTTAAACGAAGAGTCGCTGAAAGAGATATTTGTGAACAACGCGACGGGAAATGTGTATAAATCGGGAGAAATTCTTAAAAGACCGAAATTAGCCGAAACTTTAGAAAAGATCGCCAAAAATCCAGAAGAGTTTTATAGCGGATCCATTGCTAACGATTTAATTAACGATATCAATGGTCTGAACGGAAACATAACAGTGGATGACATGAAGAGTTATTCGGCAAAAGTCCGCAATCCTATCAACGTTACCATTCATAGCGGAGACTACACTCTGTTAACGGTTCCGCCGCCGGGCAGTGGAGTACTGGTCTCGTATGTGCTCAACATTTTGGACAATTATAACACCACTTGCGACCAAACAAGTGATGTAAACGATAGGATACTATTCTTTCATCGTTTTGTGGAGGCTTTGAAGTTCGCGTTTGGGAAGCGATTGGGTTTAGGAGATCCAGACTTTGTGGACAACACAGCGCTTATCCGAGATCTCACTTCTCATACATTGGCCGACGAAACGCAACAACGAATCCAAGAGAGCGCTCAACCCATTGCTTATTACGGATTAACGGGACAACCGCTCAATGACGAGGGAACCGGTCATATATCGGTGATAGCGCCCAATGGGGACACCGTTTCTGTCACTTCGAGTATTAATTCCGTGTTTGGATCCAAAAGGATATCCCAATCGACGGGAATTATACTCAATAACGAGATGAAAGACTTTGCGGTCGACGCGAATGGCATCCCATCGGACGACTCGCCCAATAGTATGATTGGAGGCAAACGACCGCTCACTTCGATGTCGCCCACAATTATCATCGATAGAAATGGCGACACAAAGCTCGCCATCGGAGGTATTGGCGGCACCAGAATATTGTCGTCGGTGTCGCAAGTGTTGTATCAAACGCTATGGCGCTGTAAGTCGTTAAAAGAGGCGACCGATACCTCTCGCCTCTACATAGATATCAACCAAAATACGGTCTTATATGAGGCCGAGTTCCCCAAAGTCTATACCGACGGACTCTACCATTTCGGCCATCGCTTAGCCGTCGATCACATCATTTCCTCGGTTTATAGTATTCTTGAGACAAACTCCACGTTCAGAGCGTATGTCGATCACCGAAAGGGCGGCTCTTCGGACGGCTTCTGAAGCGTTGTCTCAATTTTATTAATATATTATTTATGAAGAAATTCAAAAAAAATGAGAAATGAATGATAAAAATGGCAAAAATTAGTTCATTTGTTTAATCCTTATTATAATTCATTGCATCTCATTATAAGTCATAAAATAAGCATAAATAAAATAAAATAATTAGTTTCTAAAAATTTGTACAAATATTCAAAGTTTTATCGCCTATTATTATAATTACAATAATAATAAGTGTTTGGATTTTATTGTTGTTGTTTTATTGATGTCTTTAGAATATAAATTCAAAATTTAGTAAAAATGAATCAAAATTATGATTTTAATTATAAGTTATTATTATTATTTGGAACTGGTATTCATTGGCACAAAAAACAAAAAAGCATTAATATATTTAAATATATATATATTTATAAATTAAAACCTAAATAATAATACACTTTTCACTTCTTTTCGATGGGTGTTCACAATTCCAAACTTATTTCTCACAAAAAATCATATATAAATCAATTCATTTATTTCATTGAAATAGACTTTAAAAATAAAAATTTTAAATAACAAAAAAAAGTTGAGTAGAAGTTGAAGAAGTAATTTGCTTTCAAAACTGTTTGCTTACTTTGCATAGAAAAAGCCCATTCGAGATGCGATTCCTCTCACATATCATATCAAATGCGTTAAGAATGGCATTAGATTTGAGCAAAAGAGCGAATAATTTAGTATATTTTGCTTATGAGTCCGCGAAACAAATTCACTCATTTCTTTAGTTTTGTTAAAATCTCTCATCTGATGGACGCATGAATTTGTTTTTCCAAGTTTTTGGTATTTTATAAATTAAAATGTTTATTACATATATATTTATATAAGTTATGCACATGAATAATGGCATCAAATCGCTCACATCAATGGAGGCATTAATTAATATATACTTTGATTCAAAATATATTTTGTTAAGAAGAAGTCCCGCCGTTTGGATTCTCTCATTAGACTTCGTCGGCGACATGCGTTTCGCCGTTGTTTTTGGTGATTTCAATAGAGGGCTGAGAGTTGTGGTTGTGAGTGGAGTCGACCTCCACTTTCTTCTCTAAGTCCCGAATGCGGACCTCATGTTTCAAAATAATTGCTTTCAGTTTATTCAGTTCCGACACTAACTCTTCGACCCGTTGATTGGCGGCCGCCGACAGCACCGCTGCGCCCGAACCGCCGCCGTCTCCGCCTGGCTTTGGAGAGCCGGGAGGCGATGGTGTGGACCCACCCGATGACGACAATTGCTTTTTGGCCGGCAATTTGTCCAACAAGTTTGGTTTCTTTTTGGCAACTTTTAAGTCTTGCTTTTTGGTGGTCTTATAGCCCTCTTTCAGAGATATCTGTATAAACAATACACAAACACATCAATTAATAACACGGTTTCAAATCAATTGCATCGATAAAACACATACAAGAACTGGATCCTTGTCCTCGCCATTGAACCATTCCTCGGCTGTGAGCGCTGGTATATCGCTCAGAGTGTCCGGATATAAGTCGTCTTGAAATAACTCAGACTAAACATAAAATACAAACATTTAAAACATTTTATATATTGAAAACTCAATCAAAAACATAAGAATAAAAGAATTTCTATATTTATATGGTTTGCATAAAAATCTGAGAAATTATAAAAATAGAGTCAAATAACGGATTGAATTGAGTGATTAAAAAAGAGATGAAAAAACTGTTTCGACATTATATGCAAATATCGTTTGACGACAAGTTTTTTATATTCAGTGTATGTTTCTATAATTACATCAAACAACAAAAAATAGTGTTAAACATTTCACTGCAAACACACATTTGGCTTCAATTCAATGTAAAGGTTTGTTAGTTTGTGTTTTTATTTCACTTGACATATGGATGGGAGAGAGAGTGGGAGTGAAGTAAAGGCCATACCTTTCGAGGAACAGTGAATGGAATCACTTCACAGAAACCCCGGGTATGGAGTTTGAAGAGTCGGGCGATCTCACAGTTAAGTACATCACAGCCACGCTTCGGCATATAACCGATTCCACGTTGCGGTTCACTCGACTGATAGGTACTAATGTAGTGCACGAATGGCACCTCATCTGTAATCTCGAAGTATCGGATATTACTGTCGCCCTAAATATACCATAAATATAACCATTAGTTTTAAATTTCATAATTATATCTCATTAATACCTTTGCGCACAAATAGATGAGATTTACATCGGGGTCGTAGAAGGGGTAGAGCACACCATTACTAGTGTCCAATACGTCCAACACTATGGGCTCGCTTAACGCCGACTCGCTTCGCAAAGAGTACTGGCGTTCACTCATTTTCGAGAAACCAGTCGTGAAAATCAAATTATTTTTCAAATATATCGCTCTCTGAGTCTTCGCGCCCTCGTGTCCGTCGCCCTCCTGTGCGCCACAAAAACAATTCAACCATTAAAATACAAAATACTGACACAAAGACATGGATGGCATGACATACGTGTTCGAGTTCACCACTTCTGGGGTCATAGACGCGAATCTTCTTGTCCTTAGAAGTGGTGACGAGATGACTGCCGTCCCAACTCCAGGACGCGTGAAACACCAGATCTGGCGAATCAATCATCGTTAGTATCTCAGCGGTGCCCACATTCCAGATGATCACTTTGTTGTCTGAGCCAACGCTAACCAACACGTTATTGGCCGACGGGTGCCACGACAGGTATCCCACCCGACGCTGGTGTCCGTGCAGTTCAACCACTGGTTCGGTGAGAGTACGCGTGAGTCCGTAGTCTGGAATTTGCCAGCATTTCACTGTTGTGTCCTCTGAAGCGCTGGCAATCACATTGTCATTGAATGGACACCACGCAATGTCCAGCACCGGTCCCTTATGGCCGGCAACCAATGGCTGATCGGGATTTACACGTCCGCTCTAAACATTACACAATATAATTAAAGTGTTATTATATATATCATAATAAGTCATAAATAATGATATAATTAGTTAATTGTGTGTACTTTATATCCATTATATACATGTAATTCTCACATTAAACACAATTTTCAAAACAATTATTGCGTTAATTGTTTACATAATTTATAATTAATTGCTAATTAACTGTAAAGTGAGGTCAGAAGATCCCATGCCTTCAAAAGCTAATATTTGTTTTAAGATTAAACCAAATACTGATTTATTTCACACAAATATTAAGATAACGGTATGAATAAGACTTGAAATTAAAAACATAGATTGAAAAACAATTTATATAACGGAAACCATGCGTATAGAGTGGAGAGCACTAGAGTATAGAAATTGTAGTTTCATTTGTAGTTTATTTGAAATGAAATTAAGATTAAATGAAAGATAAAATAATTATTTAAAGTAATAAATCTCATAAATAATAGGAGAATACGGTTGTTATATACAAGTCATATACCGTATATATAAGGTATGGAGAGGTCGAGCATAACGTTTAACCCTCTTTCTGGGCTATTGTTTAAAGTGAACATCACTTTGAGTTCATTTGAATCCCTAATAATTGAATTGAAAATTAATGCCATTTAATAGAGGAGTTGTTCGCAAAACAACTGTTATTATTGTTATGTAATACTATATGTGTTATCAAAACGTTTGCCCATAAAATAGGGTTAAGACATATAATGATGTGTTATTCAAAACACAACACGATTTGAATCCAATTCTCTCTCACTTCTCACTCAACGAGAAAACTCATTGAAAATTATTATTAATTGAAAACTTATCTCAATATAAAATCTAAACAAATTCATAGATTTATAGATTAAACACATCTCTAAAAGACATCAATTATATTGTTATTGCATTCAAATTATTTTCACATATATTATTGTCTGTGATATAAAAGTCTAATTAATATTTCAAACGATTATATATATCATACTTTTAAGGCAATAAAACAAAACATAAAATTTAAAACAATTGAAAGCAAAAAAAAATTAATTTTGCTATAAAATATAAATTCAAATAAATATACAATTTACTAAAACTGTTACTATATTAATAGCAAACGTAATACTCTAAGAATTCAATGTAAACATCACGCAATCTCTTATTAATAAGTTGTGAGAAAAAACAAATTAATTACAAATACTTGAAAAATAAAAAAATAAAGTAATAATAAATTCTCAAAAGTAAACTTAAAAATTCAATTTCAAGCCAAAAGTAGATGAGCTATAAATTAGGCCGCAATGAAAAAACCGCTGAATGACTGAACATAAATACAAATCATTATTACATGTCTTAGGGTTTAGGGCTTTAATTGTGTCAAAACTACCGGTGATCCAAATGTTCGTATAATATAAGTGTCAATAACTCTATACAGAGTGAACATTAAAAATCCTTTTGAATAGAAATTTATGAATACTTTGTTTCTATCAAAACGTTGCAAAATATTAATGAAAAACACATTAATTCTAATCAAACCATAACTTGAATGATAGCAACAAAATATTATATTTAAAAAATAACATAATATTCAATACAATTGTCGAATAAAAGGGAAGGAAATCTCAAGGAAATTAAAATATTATATACAGTTAACACTAATTAACCGAAGATATCGTATTACGAATCAATTTGCAATCAAACTGTTAATACATTTGTTTCTATAGATAGCGAAAGAGTGCCACTATTTTTCAAATAAATCATAAATTACTAAAAATACATTCAAATATATATACCGTATTTACTCTCATAAAAACACCCGGTAATATTATGTGAAATCCAACAAAGGGGGGTAATCTTATCCAGGTAGCATTACCCCTATATTTAGGGTCATGATTACATCTTACTAAAAACTTAT